TTGGATACAAACAAATCAAAAAAATGAACCATTAACCTTCTCAGCATCAGTTGAAAATTGGCCTTCTTCAACAAAAACAGAGGTGTTGGCTATACTATCTGTACCACCTGTCACTCCACTGAGAGTAATATTACTATTTTTAGTGACAGTGAAACCACCATAAAATTATTTGACAGATTTATAATAAAAATGAATATATAAGTACAGGAAGATTTATGAAAGAAATTATTATTTATTATAAGGCATAATACAAGATACAGTATCTGAACTAAAGCGAAAATACCAATAAAGAATGTGAAAGCACAAAATGCTATTTTTTTAATGAAAAATCAGACTATTTATCAAAATTAGGTTTGGACTCTGATCTGTTGGAAATCAAATACCAAGTTTTAAGTATCAACCATCTTTAAATAATATAAAAGTTGAAATATCATTAAGGCTCTTTTTAAAAAATTGCTCAGAAGTAAAAGGCTTTTTAATTTGGAAGTAAAAAAGTAGAAATATAAAATATGACAAATCAGAATAAAAACTCTAATTAGCTGGCCAATGGCTTGGATAATATTAAATTTTAATGGTGAAGAAAATACTAAAACATCATTTAATGCTATTAATAAAAAGTCCTTCAAGTTAAAAAGTTAATAGAGGAATTACCAATTATTGAAAGCCTTAAATTGTGAAGTCCAGATCTATATAATAGTAATTGGAAACGTTGCCTTTGCAACAAAGAAAATGAAGATTTTTCACATATTTGGATATGTGAAAAACAAAGAGAAACAATTAACAATATAATTCAAGGGTTAAAAAAAGACCCAGTAAAGCAAATAAAAGAAATAAATCATTTGGCTCCTGGAAATATGTTTGATGAGAAGACAAAAACCAAATCACATTCAATGATCTGATAAAAGGAACTATACCAAAAGACCTTTATGATCACATGAAATTTTATATAAAAAAAGAAGAAAAAATTATGTAATGTCATGGAAAATGTGAATGTTTTAATCAAAGAAAAAATATGGAAAGCATTTTGTCAGGACTGTCACACCTTCAAACACTAATATTATTGAAGATCTTATAAATAACTATCTCCATATTACAATTTATAATATTCAGCAAATGGTTTCCATCCCAACTGAAAGCATTGAAACCATCTTACATGAGGAAATTTCTGTCAGGAAGGTGTGTGCAAAATGGGTTCCTTACGCTCTTACTAATGAAAACAAGCAAAAACAATTTAAGGTTTCAAAGCAATTGTTTGGGTACCTTGAAAATGGGTTTCGAAATATTATTACTGGGGATGAAACATGGCTTCATTTCTTTACGATCTAAAGATGCCAACAAGGTTTGGCTAAGCAAAGGAGAAAACCGGCCACAAATTACAAGAACAGCTCAAAATAGCAAAAAACAAATGTTTTGCATTTTCTTTTCAGCTGATGGAGTTGTGGCAAGCATTGTGGTGGAGAAAGGACATACAGTTACTAGTAATTACTAATCTCTTGTGCATACATCAATCTTTTCAATCAAGAAAAAATAATTTTCATTAATCATTAGAAGCACCTTGTTTCTTTTTGTTCCATTCTTCCCAAAAATTCTGTTTAGTAAGAGTTGAGCTTTCTTGGCCCTGTATGTTATGTATGCTCTCTACATTCGTTCAGCTCATTCATTCTGAATATGAACATGATAATGACAATGAGTACTTTCTATAGGACGTTTTATTTCCATACTATTGTTTTATTGACAAATATAGGAAAAATACAGCCCAAATTTGTTTGGTGATTTCAATGGTCAAAACTATTCCAATTTTAGTGGTAGAAAGTAGAAATTTAATTACGGTACTCACTATTAATAACATAAGTGTAACCACCTTTATGACAATGTCAAAATACTTTGGGCTGCATGTATAATAATAATAGAAGAATATACTAAACAATGACAACATCATCAGTATAATAACAGTTTTGATATTTTTGGTAAAGATAGGTGTATTGATAGATGATTTGGTTATACCTTTTACTGCTGATAGATTTTTATATATTGCTACAGTTGGTGTCACACCTGAATTAATGTTTTTGAAAGTTTTACAAATGATCTTAATCTTGAAAAATTTTCTACAATGTTCATTTGTGTTATGATGGCAATTCTTACTTGGAATGAAGCATAAAATTCAAAAGTTAATTTCTTAAAATTAAACAGTTTAATATATAGACATAACTATATAATATTTCACTAGGATTTTTTGTACCTTTAATCATTCATTCATTATCTTTATTAGTGCTCGTTTCAATAATATTTTCAGATTTGACTTGCTGTTTCAAATTCAATCAGTCCAAACTGAACAAGAATGCCTGGAGCCACTTATTTCAGAATTTATTCAAAAAACACCATTCACAAAAGAGAGCGAGCAAAAATACAAAGAGATATTTTATGGTCTGTTGTTGATGAATTAACCAAGGCCTTTGATCTTCCAGATCCTAGAGAACATAATTTTTTTAAATATACAAAAGAAATGAATGATGATGGCTTTAATAATATGTTCACATGTTATGAAAAAGGCCTAAAACGCCTTAATGATCTATTATATCAGGAAGTTTACAAAAAAATACCACGTTCCACTATTGGTAGACGAAGTAAAGATGTTGCTTTTGTGAAAGTTAAAGAACATAATAAACTCATCAAAGAAATCAACAAAGGTAAATCAAACGAAGAGATAGAAGTTGGAGACAATTTACCCACTCTGGTTTCAGACATAACAGTTGCACCAATTGATGAGGTTGAAACTTCTTCACTAAAATATAAGAGACACAAAAAAACAAATGAGGAACTTGAAATTCTTCAAGAATTGTTTGATCATCCTACAGAATCTATTTAAAATAAATAATTCATGGTCATCTACTAAGGTTAGGGATTATAGGTATAATAATGTAAAAAGAAAACAAAAATAAAATTACATTGAATTATTGCTTTTAATTACTTCAATGTATTCTATC